ATTGTCATATGTACATTCACAATTCTGAGAACGATAGAATCATTTTTAGGACAATTTTACTTCTCGAACAGAATCCTTGACTCTTATGAGGATATACAGGGTGTCCCAAAATAATGTGCACACTGTTTGATTTTGAATAACTCTCTTATTATGAGGTCTTTCGAGAAGCGGTAAGCGCCATTTTGTAGAGCTGGCTTCAACTTAGATTTACAATATAGAGCGAATCACCGACCGCTCTTCATTATTGTAGGATTACGGTACAAACTTGGAACGTATGGTGTCACTGTGGAAAAAGCTGCCGTTTCAAAGATTTTCAAAAAGAAGTGAAAACTTGTGTAATAGGGTTTTCAGAGCTGAGTTCAATACTCAACTACTCACAAGACTGCGAAGCTTTCTAAATGGTGTAACCGCACTTTTTAGGAACATTGAGAAAGTGGCCGCTACTGCTTACCTCGCATAACTCTTCAGTGAAGCATCATAATAAGTTGGTAACTTTACAGTGAGAATCAGCAGCTCTAATTGGCCTAGTGTAAAAGTCCTCAGGCTGTTTTGATTCTTTCCTGGGGCAAAATGTTGCCTTTCATGGCCCAAAACCCTCTTTCAAGTTTCTACCGTAATCCTACAGTAATGAAGAGCGGTCGGTGATTCGCTCTATACTACAAATCTAAGTTGAAGCTAGCTCTACAAAATGGCGCTTACCACTTCTCGAAAGCCCTCATAATAAGAGAGTTATTTAAAATCAAACAGTGTGCACATTATTTTGGGATACCCTGTATAGGTTTGCTACAGTTTATCTCGAAACTATTATACACAAAAAAGCCTTCGGGAATCCGATCGCCGGCAAGAGGAAGGACAAGAGGGCTATGAACTGGGAAAAGCTATAGGGATTTTACTCACAGTCTAATTTTCATCACGTCCGTTAATCACATGAAATATTTTTGAAAAAAAAACTGCGGCTTTCGATTTTCCCAGAAATGCAACATCGTGGAGTTCAGGCACTCGAATGATGTAAGAAAATGAAGAGCTTGAGTAGGTTGAAATTTGTTCGGCAATCATAAACTTTTAGATCTTCCCTTCAATCACACACTCAGTTCTTATACTAAGTATATGTCAAAATGATAGCCCTTCTGAAGCAGTCAGGCGCACATCAATGAATATATTTGCAATTAGAAGTCAAACGCTTGCGTAGCCGATAATTTTATACACATTTAACCACCAACGTAGAAAGTAGAAGGCCGCAAACTTCTGAATTTTTTGAAAAAATTTTATTGCATAAAAGCAGTCGTAAGTTGATTATTTGATAATCCGTCGAAATCTGACGTACTCTTAAAGGTTTTAAAGGCACCGTCCACCCTAAGTTAGCGGTCTTGAGTTTTTGGCAGCCTAGGATGGTAGAACCCCTGTCAAGCCAATCCCATTCGCGCCGCAAAAGAAGTCGCTTCGGAAAAACGAAGAGGCATGAGGACCCTAAGTCAGCACCGCCCTCTTTCAGTAATGCCCGCCCGTCTGTGCACGCCCATCCAATCACCGTCCGTAGAACTGGCCTGGGAGTTCTCCGGAACGGAAATTGTTCGGGGTTTTCGCGGATTTTCGACTTCATATTGGTGTCAGGGACATGGGAAGGCCCGAAACGAGCAAAACGTGCAAGGAGAATCTAGATGGACGGTGTTTTTAACTCAGCAGAATATTGTACAAAACAAAAGCACATCACACACGTGCTTCATGAGGTTCTGTAATATATCCAACTGAATCTACATTGAACAATGATATGAGAAAAATCAAATGATAGATAAGCAGTTGTTTATTTGTATCCTACAGATACGTGAACAATAAAGAGCGAAGAGCGATAGATCACTTCAAGGGATGAAGTGATTTTAACAAAATCTTGAAAGGACAATGTATCAGAGATAGAAGTCTCTATTTATGTCTTTGCAGGTAACAAACAATTTGTCACCACACACATGTAAAAAAGGTAAACTATCTTCACAGTAGCGCTGTCTAGTTGTGGAATGCAAGGAAAAACAATAGATGAGTCAATACAGTAGCTCTGGAAGTGACTAGATGTTTCCCAGGATGCGCTGTGTCCACACTCAAATCGATGCAATAAAAAATGGATCAGGGAAATAAGTTACAGGCAAACATATATGGATGGTTTCGAGAAAACTAACTACGGCAAACCATCGGGGAATAGTGAATGTAAATTATGCACGTCGCCGGGACACATCACAACACTCTCTTATTAATCATATCATGACGGATAGAAAAATTTCTTTTCCTTTTCCAAGGAAACTTTATATCGACAGAAAGATGAAATCATTGTTGAGCGTGCATTAGTTTGAGGAGGAAGTGGCGGCACCTGACATCTGCCAAACTGAAAAAAAGTCCGAACGGAGTTCACATAATCTTAGATTGATTTTCTTGGAAGGAGTATGACTGATTGATGGTGCAGTATTCTCAGTTGTCTATGGTTTTGTTAAAGATTCAGCACCTCAAATTATCCGCCAGCAGAGAACACCAATCATCGGCACATTGAGGCATGTATAATACCAAGCCTTCGGCACATGCAATACTTGAATTACTTCATCCACTTCGCTATTGGTCAATTTAGTGAGACCAATAGCGAAATAGATGGAGTGGATCAAGTTTATCAAGTGGACATCCACTACGCTATTGGGCAGTTCACCGTTTTGACCAATAGCAAAGTGAAGTGGGTGAAGTGGATCAAGTGAAACGAGTATGGCGCATGATTCACGTGAAAAGCGACTGGGAAGTGTCATATCTTCCACTCGTGGCCAGAATTCATTGACATCTTGAATGCAGTGGAAACTTCCCTGACACACGAAGTAGACTTGAGGAAGAAATCATGGACAACACTCGATACAAAATACAAAATTATAAAGTCTCATATCGAGTTTAAAAGAAAGATGTTAATTGTATGTCTGCCCAAAAATCTCAGCCACAGCGCAAAGAAGTTATAACTGTTGTAGCGGATAGGTGAAGCTAACACTCCATGGGTAGGATTTCGATAATTTTTGCAAAGCAGGGAATGGTAGCAGAACTAATAGTAGCCAGAAATTAACACAGCCATACCAAACACGCCGTATATCACCGGACTCGTCCTAAAACGCTGGTCACAAATATATGTTTATTATCTGCCAAGCGACTATCTGGACGGAGCCATGAGTGTTTCAGTGTGCGATTTGTAGGTGTTCTGTGGCGCTTGTTTCACGAAATGCGTTTCAAAAACACTTATTCAGGTTTCTGGTAACTGTGCTCCTTCCTTATACAGTTGTAGCGGAGGAATCCGGCCAAAATTGCGGGATTTGTGAGATTTAGTCATAACTTCTTCTAAAACGACTTTATTTGGAACTTGCAAGAATGGCTTCAGCAGACGAATCTTCTAGTATATATTATGCCCGAGTTCATGGTAATACGGTAGACATACAATACCACCAGGGTTGAGCAAGAGATCAGGCACGTCTTTTGAAAACGCCCGCCCCCTCCCCCTCAGGAAAGCCCCAGACGACCCCCTTCTCCCTCCTTTTCACCTCCGAAACTTCGATGGGCGACATTCTGGACGAAACCACCCTTTTCCAAAGAGTTTTGGATTTTTGAGTCTGTACGCCCGATTTTCTGTGATTGCACTTTATAGACACGTAACTTGACGGTTGATTTTGATGTGAATGGGTTTATTGCAGGGATCATAATTTCTTTAAGGCTGGGGTATCTGGCTTAAATTTTTCACTGTAGCAAGAAGAAGCTATGCGCTCAGTACTCATAACAGGAATGCAGCGATTCCTGAGTTTTGAAGGCAAGTTAAGGGGGTTAGGCGCAAGGCTACAAAAGCTCAGGCGGCCTGAGCTTTCGAGGGGTTGCGCCTGACCAGGTTAACTCTGTCCCGAAGAATCTTTTCCATCCTAGTTTTATGTGGTTCGCTAGCCCAAACCTCGAAGATTTTACAGTAGGTGTTTGAGCTTAGCTCCACTTGTTTTGGCTTTGTGATAATCCGCGGATTGACGAGCTCAAGGTAAAAAAAGGGAGTTTGCAATATTGACAGTATTTCCTAATCCACTATTTAGAAGCGATATGAATTCTAATTTCTAGTGTAGACTAATAGGGAACACTACTTTGTTATGAGTATAAAAAACTGACTTTTTTCACTTTTGAAACCAAGTTAATCATGTTTGAATTTCAGGCTTTTTAGACGATAGAAAACGCTAGAACGTCATAGGCGTCATGTCGGGTCATAGCCGCAAATCCCGCAATTTTAACCGGATTCCACCGTTGCAATTGTAATTAAAATAACCATAGCCACTGTGAATCCTTGTCGTCAGGCTGCCTTTCAAGGAAATACATTCCTCGAAACTCAAAAAATTTCTCATATTTGAACGTTTACTCCTCCCAGATAGTCGCTTGGCAGACAAATAACGTATATTTGAAATCAGTGTTTCAAGATGAGTCCGATGATATACAGCTTGTTTGGAAGGCTGGATTAAGTTCTGATCATCACCTTGTAAGCCAAAATCATCCAAATCCCACCCATGGAGAGTTCTGTGTGAACAGCAGACACTTGTACTTTCACCGAGTGCACACTGATAGATTGTTAGTTGACAAAACACTTTACTATAAAAGAGGGATGCAATCAAATATTTGACAAGTGATATCAAGCGAGAATCAAGTGCAATTAAAAAAGCTGGAAATTTACAGAAAGAGAGCGATTGTTTGATTGAAAACGCAGCTACAAGTTCGATTTAGCAGTTTTTGATCAATGGAAAACAAGCAAAACTCATTTCACTGACCGTGATAAAGGCCTTTTTTGAATAGTTGGTATGAGCAAAGGATGAGTCATTGGCAGAGATACTAGAAAAGGAGCATAAACATTTCCCCAACTTCTGAGGAGAACATTTTATCTACACAGAATTAGCATGTAGTTTGAGGATATGCAAGAGTGAGTGAAATAAGTATAAAATGCATCAAAAGGCATGAAGAGAGTTGGATATCAACATTTGAATGACAGCTCATTACAAATTAGTAAGTAAAGGATATCCAACAATCTTGATTATGGAGAGGAACGCGTTGATAATGCGATGTAAATTCATAGAAACATTGATTCGAAGGTTCGATTAGAAAAACGAGTTGAATCGTGTAACCGCTTGGCGCCATTCCAGTGGTGCAAACTTCTTTCGGAAATCTCCTTCCAGAGCCTGCACAAATAAGATATAAGATGCTGACTTTGTGTCTAATTACACAAACTCACTTTGATCGCTTTATCCCAACCAGGCATGTGATCACAATCAGGGATGTTCAAAAACTCTTGGAAAATGACTTCGAGAGATTCACGCACTCCTAGACGCCTATAAAAGTATACAATGCATCTGAACAGCAATCTCTTGGGAGGAAATGAAAACGATTGCACACCTTTTCATGAAGCTCTTCAGCTTGTAGACACCGTTCACTTTCGAAACATCAGCGTATTTGTTATGTATAATTACGTGCAGCGTCCCAACATATCCGAAGTAATCCGTCTGATATGTCCACGGACGCGATTCCTGAGAAGTGAGATACACTTTGCTTTTATTGGAAGAAAAAAATCTACAGATGGTACTAGGTACTAGAATCAAAACCTTTTCAGATCTTAAAAATTTTACCAGCATCTCCGGACAATCAAATTTCTCGGTTCCCGCACGCCCGGTGAATGTTTGATTACCCAAAACACGCATGTCGATCGCTCGACCCCAGTCTATCAGCTTCACGATGGGGGTGGCAAGGATTTTGTTGATGTCATCGCGGCAATCACTAAGTCTAAACAGGAGAGGTCAAATGATTAGATATCAGGAGCAAAACTAATTTCCTACTTTCCAAGAATCATGAAGTTGTCAGGTTTAATGTCACCATGAATAATTTTGACGGCATGTAATTCGCGTAAAATCTTTGCCATCTGTATGCCTATCAAGGCTACGATGTACCAGCTCGGATCCACCCACTTGTTTGAAAGATCCTAGAAAAGTTATGGCAATTGTAAAGTAAATATCTAAGCAGACTATCTGAAAAAAATCACCAGCAGTGTTCCGTATGGGTGATATTCATTGAATAATACTGATGCGTTGCTGAATACATATGCTTCTGTGACCTATAGATGTGATCTTGATCCAAAATAAGAATGATGTACAGAATTTTCTAACCTCCATGATACTCTTGAGAACAAAATGCTTGGAACGATCGATGCGCATTTTTGCCTCAGAACAGATATAGACCTCCCAAGGGCATGATGGGATTTCGTACTGAAAGTGTCAGTTGAGCAGCAGGTATGACAAGGAGAGTAGAGACTACCTTGAGAGCTAACGTCTTTTTCTCCTCATTTATACACTTGAAGACTTTGGCAAAACCGCCTTGACCAATTAGATCTACAATGTTGTAATTTTCTCCTCCGAAATTCACTGTTTTTCCAGCTGTGACACGAGGGCATGGCGTCTGCAAACGCGCTACGATTCACAAAATAAGGAATCGTTAGGGGAGAAAATATAGCATGAGAAGACTACTCTCAGCAATTTAGAAAAAACTTACATCAAAGTCATGCTGATAGCAGGGCTTGTGGGCTTGCTTCAAAATCTCGGCACGAACTCTTCTATCCCATGGATTAATTGCACTGGTAATTTCTTCACTAAAGTGCCAACGTTGAAAACGATTCCAAACAAGCACGCATCATCATCCACGTACTCTGCAAGGCCAACTCCCGTACGGTCGTGATCACCACCCTCGGCATCGTCATCCGGTTCTTTCTCCATCTGCTTCGAATCACCCAAGTTCATCTTGTCAAGCGCCAGCTCCATGGAACGTTCAGCAGCTTGCACTGTTCTTGCTTTTGGAGCAGGAACTTTTGTAACGGTAGCCACTGGATTGGCAACGGGTGCCACTGAACGTCGCCGCTAAAAAGAAATGGGGTTTTACAATACGATGAAAGTAGTTCATGTGAAAGTGTTGGTGTCTATTATAAATAAGAAGTCAAGATCAAACCAAAACATTGTCTCTTACCATGAAAGCAGACTGTGCATAAATTTCCTCTTCGTTTTGTTCTTCTTTCATCTGTTCTTCCAGTACATGATTGAGTGGAGCAAAGAAATCTGAGACAAAACATTTTGATCAGAGCAAGACAAATTTTTGTCATGCTTTTTGCCATGTACTTGAACAAGCGATGGGATTCTAGCGGTGCCTTGAGACAGGCCCTATGTAGCGAAATATCCGCAAAGCGCATTACCCCAGGAATCCTCGATTCTCATTCTGCTTTCAAAAAAGTGTTACAACCTCAGCCCATCAGAGTGTGTGGAAAAGACAGATTCGTTTAACCAAAGCTTGCTTTTTACACAAGGGTAGCATTGCCCAAATCCCTCGCAAGCCCCATTCTTAATGATTGTTAGCTTTTAGAGAAATTCTGATTGTCAAAAATAACGTGATAGCGCATGTAGGCCGTACTGGTTTTACACTACGATAAAACAGAAGAGGATTTACGGAAATTGAGATGACAGCTATGGTACGTAGTAGAGAGGAGATGATAGCCGACCCACCTTCGTGAGTAGGAGGATGCGGGAGAGGATGTGCTGGTGTAGATGTTACAATACCACGTTCCGGTTTTTTGTCAATACCCAAAACAGAGAACTTCGCACCAGCCACCGTTTCCTCGTCTTCTGCAATAAAAACTTTAGAGTAAACACCAGCAAGATTTCACGGATAAGATTGATGTCAGAAAACATAGAAGGTCATCACAAACCAATAATCAGCTGCCTTGGCTTCCCGAATTCCTTCACATCAAATCCACGGATCTCTTCTTCTAGCTTTTCTAGTTGTCCCTAAATAAAGCTTGTCTGCGACTTTGCGGGTCTCCAGCTGATGCACAATTTGTTCCCTACCCTAGCATCTCCTGCTGCAGGTTGCAGTGGTATAGGATGAAGAGGAAGACGCTCCGCATTCTGGCAAAAGCCGCTTTGTCGTTGTTCGTTTGCGACACTAAATTGATTCTTTACTAACATGACCTACAAAGAAGGTTTGAAGCGCATACTTTTCTGATTTTTCTTTCTCTGTCACACGAAGAGTAACGTCCTCATCAACGTATACTTCAAAAGCCTCGACAGCTGGAGGCTGCACTGGCAGAGTTGTCTCATTTGGGATGCCAGGCAGGTTACCTAGAACACTTCATTTCAACGAAAATAAGTACAACAGGGTATTTCCAGCTCACCTTTGTTGAGTACAACAGTGTCGGAAAACATAGCTTTCATGTCGCTGTATGCCTTCTCCGTGAATGATGATCCGCTGATAAATGAGGATTTGGTTGATGGCTGATTGGTAGACACAGGTGGCTGCTCGGGAGCTGAAAATTATGAGCTAAAAGCATACCTAATAAAAAGCGCAGATCTAAACAATATTTTAATGTGTTTCTTAATCACGAGAGTGTAGTAAGCAAGCTGGAAACACTATCCGATTAAAAGTATCTTTTTGCAACGACAGAAAGTCTAGCCTTCTAAACAGTGCTGAGAAGAAATGGAAGAAACGCTCACATTTTTCCCTGCGTGCACCAAATACTCTGCTGCTTGGCACCGGGGCAGCGGGAGAGAGAATACGCCGACGCTTGTCTTCATTAGAGAAATCAGATTCACATTCCTCCACAGTCTCCAGTAAACGACCACGTTTTCCGAGCTAAATGAATACGTTTTTGAAGGACATGGCGAACGCCAAGAAAACACCGTTTTTAAAGTTTTCATAATTTACAAGCGTGGATTTTAGTGTTCAGGAGCTACTGCCTTTTTCCTAGCATACGCTATTCAGACATACTTTATGACCAAGTCCTGACGCTGCGCACAACGACTAGCGAATGCTCTATTGCAAGCATAAGGTCATACTTTAGGACCTTTCATTAGAAAATGCAACGTCTTCTCATCCTTCCCCCGCCTTCCCCTCGCTTGTCATCGGCACTGCACCAGGAAGAAAAACGGTACCAACAAGCTGGTTCTCCCAAACTTGAGTTCAAACAGCACCTTCACCCTCCAGCCAACTGCATTTCCCTCACTTTCAAAATATTTTCGCCTTCCCACTCTTACTGCTCATGGCTCTGGAAGTGAAAAGTCAATTTTACAAACTCACCTCTTTCTGCTCAATGCTAACCGTACGTTGCGTAAGTGCGACGTGGCTTACCATGACTTCCTGCAAAGATACGTTATTCGGCACAAAAAAATTATGTGAAAATGAGGAAATTGGACAAAATTATTCCTGCAAAGGGAAACTAAGCACATGTTACGTCACTCTACCACCAAATAGATAAGCTAGTCAAACGAGGAATATGCGTTGCGAATACAATTATAGCACTAGCGACTCACATGGGCTGGGGATGTGATGTCCATAGGTGCGTTGTCGAAGATATCAAAAGCATCTGCCATTTGTTCATCAGCCAACATCGCGGCTCTGAATTCCTCCATTGATGGCGCAACATATCCGTCTTGTGGACGATCTACCAGCTCGAAACGCAAGTCCGTGCGGCCTGAAAGCTTTGCATACTATAGCTAATCAGTAAACTGAGTCAAACCTACTTTTAGGGCCGAAAGATCCTTTCTTGGGTGGTTCTGCGCTCTTGAAAGTGTCTTTCGCACGCGCTTCGATCACAGCGAGAGAGGATCGACGACGACCTGCAAGAAAGTTTCTAAAAGGTTGAAGAAGTTACGACAACTTCTTACTTCTCTTTGTTCTCAAATCAGACGGTTTTTTCGTACAGAAAGCCGCCATAGTCTCCTCGTCGTTGAAAAGATCGCAAGATGGGAGGTACTGGTCAACTAAATCCCTGAAATTTGCCTTTCATAGCATAAAAAAGACTAAGATGAAGTGAAGAGATTTTTTGTGAACTGTAAACTATACCTAAAACCTGCTTCAACGTCAAATGTAGAGAGATGATGTAGCCGTCTTTTAGCCAAATCCACAACATTGGAAAACTTCGCTACATTTCCTTCCTTTGCATAGCTTTCAGCCCACAAAAGATGGAATTTGAGGGAGTTTCGGAATAAGTCTTCTTCTTCGAGTTTTTCGAATATCTTAGCTGAACCCATTTTTTTGCTGTATTTTGCCTGAGATTTGTTCTATTACAGAACAGTGAAAAACATTTTTTGAGCATACCAGTAATTTGTACAAACGAAGCATGTCTTCCTGTGAAGCTAGTGTTCCTTCTTCAGTAATCTTTCTGATGGCTTTCAATGCCATATCCTTCACTCGCTGTGGTTTATAATTGTCGTAAGCTTCTATTTGCCTGAAAAGTCTCAACGCTTATAGCTATTGCAAACTTGGAAGAACTCTTGTGTTCTAATATCTCCTTTCCATATGTCACACTGTAACTTACGCGCATATCATCTGCAAACCAGCAACGCTTGGTTTGTCCAATACTTCCCTGAAAATATGCATCACTGATAAATGAGACTGGAACTAAAGGTATGAAGGCTGAGATCGATGAGCTTACCGAAGGAGCAGTTCGAACGGATCCATGGTGAGTAAAAATATGTTTGAGTGCACTTCAAAGAAGAAGACGCAGAATGAACCGTCTCCTCTGCTGCTGAAACGAGAGAATGAAAAGCATTCATTCTCACACCACGAATGAGGAAAGTAATTATAAAGTAGATATACAAAGCGCAAAAAACAATGAAAAGATACCAGACTGATGAGCAATTTGCAACTAATACAAGCATTTTGTCGAACGGATGGAAGAAAAGAGAGGCAGGAAGCGAAAAAAGGGCAAATTGATGGACATTTTAGCGTTTCTTCTTTCTTCTCGGAAGTACATGTAAGACAGAGAAGGCTTTGTGATCAGTTTAGACCTCACACGTGGGTCTAGACCAAACAAAATAAGTTGATGTTGAGGAGAAATTCCTGGTATCGCCACGGAAACCAAGACCACGATGGTTTCTTCGCAGAATGCTGCGGTCGGAACTTCAAACTGTACCCATCTTCGAACGATTTAATTTACGTACCTTGAGATAACTCTTATGATTTCAAAACAAGAATGAAAACACGGGCCAAGAAGAAAACAGCATTTTCTCAAGTACAGCGGACGAATTCAAACCTTCATCGTTCCCGCATTTAATTACGCTGGAGCATCACAAGCTGCTTGGAGCGCATCTTATATATAAAGCTGAATGTCTGTTTGTCTGTCTCTCTGTCTGTCTGTATGTATGTATGTCTGTGTGTACGTATGTTCCGAATAGAAAATTCCATTTCTGAACCGATCGGGACCAAACTTGGCACACATACACTTTGGGCCCCGGCGGGTGTCATAGGCTACTTTTCGTCATCGATCGATATCGATTTTATCGATTTTTTGCAAAATTTGAGCTACGGGGCTGGGAGTTGGCACAGGGGGGTAATCGAGCATGCTGATCACCCCCGTGGGGGTGATCAGCATCCCTGCCAAATTAGGTAGAAAACGAGGTAGAAAACGCGATGACTAATATTATGGCAGCACTTCTTAAACCAGTATTTGCAAACGATATGAAGTCCAATTTCTACCATAGACTGTTAAAGAGTACTACTTCGCCACGATTACAAAAAAGCTAACATCTTTCACTTTTGTGACCAAGTTAATCATGTTCGGAAATCATGCTTTTTAGACGTTAGGATACACTAGAAAATGTAATAGGTAATAGTTTGTAGAGCTCGTTGAGGTATAATTTGGCATGCTGATAGGGAAATCATACCCAATGTACATAAAAAGCTTCTTAGATGATCTTGCGGTATATGTGGTAAGATGAAGAATGAAATTTGGCTGAGACTTCGTTAGTCGAGTTAATCAGCATGTTGTACACGACAGTCAGTCCTATGGTGGAGTTGTGAGATGCACGGTCGAGCGCTTTTCTTCTTCACTTACTCGATCGTAATATTTCCTCAATTTTTCAAAAGAATTTCCTTCTTGTTTACGACCCTCCCCCCGCCCCCCTCCCCCCCCCCCCCTCCCACCTCCTGCTCTTACCCCCAATACGACCCTCCAGGTCGAGCGCGCCTGACCCCACGCTCAACCCTGCTCATAAGCATGCCTGAGATCTCAAAGGCTTTGAGAAAAAATTATCTGCTTATTTGCTTTATTGCTTTATTTGCTCTACCCCTCACGTATAAATACCCCCCCCCCCTAAACCAATCCGTCCCAGTGCACCACTCTTCCCTACTGACGAGCCTCGGGAGTGTAACACTATAGTAACCTGTATAGGGGTAGAGGCGAAACAGGCGTAAAGAACTCATCATATCAATAATTAATATTTGAGACAAGATCATTCTCGCTTGTTTCGCCAGTGATTCAAGCCAAGATCGCTTCCTTTCTAACCTATACTGATATTTTTTTAGTTGACGTTTCGTTTTTGGGGGGATTTTGGGGAGTTTTTCAGGTTTTTAGAGGGGATATCGTTGAGGGTCAAAGGGGACTTTGTAAAATTTTTGGCAAGTCAAAGGGGACTTCGTTTTGAAAATTTCCTGGTGCCAGCTCGTGCCGAGCCCTGTGTCAGATTTGTCCCGCCATTCGACAGATAATGACGGTGTCGTTAGCTTTGAATCTCTACAAGTTCGAACTTTTTGGCATCTACTTCGTTGTAGTTTTTGCAGAGTTACCCACTCAGAAAAAGCTCGAATGCAGACTTTTACAAGGTAAACTCATTGCTGATCATTTTTGTTGCTTAACAGCTTTGTTGCTCTTGTTGCTCATCGTCTACATGACATTAAAGGCAGCGTCCAGGCAAGTCTGACACATGGGAATTCACGTGGTTAGTAATTCTGGGGCCCTAACTAACCACTGCCCAACCGGCAGCTCGGGTAGTGCTCTAAGGCTGGGATATTCCCCTCAAAAGTGGACCCGCGATCGTAGTTCGCATGGATTCATGGCGTAAAGCGTGGATCCTATCGCGAAACTGCCATGAATCCATGCGAAATGCGATCCTGGGGCCGAGCTTGGAGGCGTATATCTCAGCCATTAGTGAGTCGCCTGCGCTGCCGCTTGGGCAGTGCCTTAGTCAGGGCCCCAAATGTACTTTCCACGTAAAATCCCCATAGGTCCAATTCTACCTGGACGCTGCCTTTAAGAATGCTAATGAAGTAGTGGCCATTACATTACTAGTAAATGTAAGAAGAGTGAGCTTGTCACTTTCATTCGAAAAACATTTACCACCGATTCACCAGTGAATCTGTAACGTTATAACGGCGATGAGAAATCGTTAACGGCTTGAAATTGGATGCACTTGTTTCCATTCATAAAGTAGATTCGCCCATACTAGCCGTTGTAAAATCAAAAGATCAAAGATTTCGTCAGATTTGTATATGCTAGGTTGACCGAAAGGCAGGTTTGCTGTAAGCCTGATTATTAGGTTTGTTTCATTTAGCCTCATTTGTTCATGCATTGAATTCAAAGTCATGGGGTCATACTGAGTATATTTGCTTGTTCTTTTCTTTGCTAAAATGCTATCATTTTGGAAGCAAATGCCTGAGCGAAGAACTTGTAGATTGTTTTTAGACAGGTAATCGATATAATTTGAGATTCTAGTCTTACTAGAGGATGTGTAGCTCAATCTGTGATTGGGGTGAACATCTAGTCACTGGCAAATTTTTGTAGTTTTTGGTGAAGAAAATAACGTCTATCATTGACTTTTCATGGAGAAACCATTAGGAGGTTGTTGTCTGGTTACAATTGTATGTCATAGCTTTACTCTTCTTACTTACATTTTCCCGTCTTTGTCAAGAAGTTTTAAAAATTTCGGGAAAGTCTCATGTTTAACATAAATACAGGGTGGGGCAAAAGTCTGGGAGCCTACTTTGCAGTGCTGTAAATCAAGAAACTACTGATGATTTTGACTCCAAATTTGTGCCACATATTGCTGCGATCATGCTCTACAAAGCACACTTTGGCTGACTGAAAATGCTTGCTATATGCTTTTGTAGGAGTTGGATTTATCAAACAAGTGCTCTGCAAAATGAGAAAATCGAAATTTTTGGTCTTTACAACTTATTTCGTAACTAACGATACAGTGGATATTCTGAAGCACTTCGATGAGTATAATGTAGAGGAGACTTCGCGCTATCAATTCTTAGCCGTTGAATTCGTCAGATCTATTCTTTTAAAAACGCAAAATATATATTGCGAATACCAGCTGCGTGCCAGCGGCCATTTTTCTTTAGAATAAATTTTAAAGCTATAGGGGCACAGCAGGCACTGAATTCTAGGCTATATTCTTTCCATGAGTCTTCTATGCAAGCGTGTACTAGTGTTCGATCGATCAAGCAATTTCAATACTTTTCATATTACGATTCTTGGCTCCCGTTCGCGCAATCGCATCCAGATTTCCAGTATAGAGTACAATTGCCTTTGATTAGAATTCTAAAACTTTTTTCTAAACACTGCGAAAAAAAAAAATTCTTCGCAGCGCGTTGTAGCCAAAAGCTTGCTCTATCACACCGCATATTTGCCTGGTGAAATAAACAGTTATCGTAAAGGCGTGGAACGAATATCATCACCACTGTCTGCGTGCCACGACAGTCGGACTCGCCAAGATTTCAAAGGGCTGCTTTGAAGCCAGAAGAGGCAATCTCAAAATTTGAAAGCAGCGCTGTATCAGTAAGGGTTCGATTTATGTGTGCACCAAATTCTTTGTTCCTAGGCACTTTCCTTCTGATTTTATCTGAAAAGGTACTAGGCTCCCAGACTTTTGCCCCACCCTGTATATGAGGAAGACACGGAGAACTATTCACTGGTTCATTTGCGCTTTTACGGACTTGAGCCATAGCTTTTTTAGTTCTCGCGAGCATCAATAGTGATGAGAAGGCAGATTTGCAAAAAGTAACTCGAAACTTTTCAGAAAAGACAAACTTGATCTTTCAAGTGCGACATGTACAGATCGAGAAGCTACGATTCTCCTTGCAACGAGGAATTTTCTAGAAAATTTGAAAGCTTATATTGAAACCAAGAAAATTTTTTCTCAGGAAATCATGAAAGGTTTCTATTTCGTGTAATAAAATTTGTACTATTTTCAAGTAGCCTTGTTTCGAAATTCTTCATCCAGTGTTCATTATGTTTACAACTGTAGCTTTAGAAGTGAGCAGAACTCCATTAGGTCAATGTCATAGAAGAAGGAAGACTGACTTTCAACAGATGAAAAATTGGTTGCTCGAAATTCTTCCCCAATTCTGGATGCCACAGCATTCTTCGAACTTTTGAACTTTCTACCCTTCGATGACTCATCCAAAACCGTTAATTCTACAAAAGATGCACCTGGAGATCACTTTACAGCAGTGAACTTCCATTTTAGCTTGTCTGATCATCACTCATCATCGTTGTTGATTCTACATGACAGAGAACAGATGACTCAGCGCTGATAGCACTCTTATACCAGTGATCCAGTGCGCAACCCACGCATCACTGCATTACTCACTTTACTGTACAGTGATGGCAGTAAACAACCAAGCAGTAACGCCAAAACACTATAAGCGCATCAAACCGGAAATGAAACGGATTTTTAAGCGAATTTCTGAAATTCGCGCCCAGAATTTTGCAGTGACTATCAAGATGTAAAAAAGTTCAAAACCTGACAAA